CCTGCAGTCTTAGCTACTCAGGAGGCCGAGGGCAGAAGATCACAAGTTTGAGGCCAGCCTTAGGAACCTAGCAAGGCCGTCAGCAACTTATTGAGACCCAGTCTCAAAATTTGAAATTCAGAGGGATGGGGACATGGCTCAGTGGGAAAGTGCTGCTGGGTTCAACACCTGGTACTGAAGAAAAACCACTGAAACCCAGGGCTTCCGTAGGCAGTAGCTCTTCACCCACCATTTAAATCTACTCTGCAGGGACAGGGTTTGGCCTTTACCGACTTGCTGAGTTAGTTTTGTTCGTGCATATTTCCCCATAAAATATCCACTCGTTCATATTTTCAAATGTTTTTTCACAAGGCTTTACTGATATTATTTAATTTTTAAAATTTCCCTTTACTGTGCCTTAATGCTTTCTGCTTATTTTCCTTGGGTCTGCTAGAACTCTAATTTACTAGACTTTAAAAAAAACAGGTCATAGCGTTATTCTCTATTTCTCTTTCCTAATTTCTCAGATTCCACTTTTTATCTTTCGTGGCTCTTTCCTTTCCTCTCTTAGCTCTCCCTTGTTGGTCTTTTTCCTCCTCTCTTGAGTTGGATCCTAACCTATTGACTTTCACTGTTTCCTGTGCGTGAAATTCCTACGAGGGACGTGTGCGCATGTCCTCCTTGGAACATTTTAACCGCTTTCCCGCGGTTTAGACAGGCGGTATTCGCAGTGTAGTTTCTATGAAATACTTTGTCATGTAGCTTTTATTTAAAGTTATTTACGAAAGTGGTTTTTAATGTTCAAATGGTTGGCTTTTTAATTTAAACTTTTGTTAATCATTTCTAGCCTAATTGCACTGCGGTCAAAGGGGGGGGGCTCCTGCCTTATCTGCTTTGGGGAGTCTATTGAACTCTTTCTTTATGGCCTAATATATGATCAATTTTCATAAATGTTTGATGGGCTCTGGCAAAGAAATAAGGATCTTTTAGTTGTAGGCTGCAAAGTTCAATCATTAAGTCAACCTCATTAATTGTGTTCTGATCCTACCAATCATGGAGGGGGAGGGGAGGGAGGTGACTATTTAAATGTCTTATACAGCAGTCACCTCCTCCCCGTTTGCGGTTGGCTTATTTTTTCCCTCCTGTGTCTAAGTTATTGTCCTTCTTGTTTGGACACATTGCTGTGTAGGTCAAAGAGGGTCATGGCCATCAGATCTTCACTGTGACTTTACCCTTTGTGGGTACAAATGACCTGTTCCCTCTTGTGATTTTTGCTCGTGTTCCTTCACCTGACATAAATATTGCCTTTGCTTTCAGTTGATTGGCATTTGCCTCATAATTTTACCCAAGTCTTTATTTTTAACCTTTTCATGACCCTTGGTCTCCAGTGCATTTGGATTTTCCTCTTAGCTATTGCTTTATGCACTCTGAGGGTCTTTGCTATTTTACTGGGGAAATCTAATGCGTTTACGTTCATTGTTAACGCTGACAGGCTGGATCCCATAAGAAGCCTGTCTCATCGTCTTCTGATTCTCCTTCTAGGTTCTTCCTTTGGTTTTCTGTGTTAGTTTTACCCACCAGTCTTTCTCTGTGATCTTCTCCAACTTTGGTGACTGGATGTTCCCAGTTCCCACAGAGAATCTTGCATTTGAAGCTGCTTCATGGGCACCATGGAAACACATCCCTGGGGCCTCTCATTAAAGTGAGGTCAGGTCCCCTCCACTTTAAGATCTATGACTACATGATCTCAAACTTTAGATCCAGATGGTGTGATTGTTTTTGTTGCTGTGTTTTCTTTAGTTTTGAGATGAGGTCTTGCATTATGCTGCCTAGACTGGTCTCCAACCCCTGGACTCAAGTGATCCTCCTGCCTCAGCCTCCCAAATAGTTGGAACTATAGGCATGTGCCCCCTTGCCTGACTAAATTTTTATTTTTATATTATATTAAGAATATTTTTTGAAGCTGGGCTCAGTGGCACATGCCTGAAATCCCAGCTCTCCCAGAGGTTAAGGCAGGAGGATCATGAGTTCAAAGCCAGCCTCAGAAATTTAGTGAGAATCTAAGTCAAAATAAAAAAACAAAAAGGGCTGGGGGACCGGCTCAGTGGTAGAGCTCTTGGCTAGCATGTGCAAGGCCCTGGGTTCCGTGCCCAATACCAAAAAAAAAAAAAAAGTGCATGTTTTTCGACCTTGTATGAAGTCTGGAGATGACATTTGTTAACTATTGTTTAGACTTGGTGTTTTCTAACTGGTCTCAGTGGGATGGCCCAACTTTAAAGCCACAGGACGACCCTTTTAAGAGTCTCAAGTGGCGGGAGCCCCCCCCCCCCATAGCAAAGGCCTCAGTATTGCCCTAGATCCCCGTCCAAGCCTCCCTGGCTGTGGGCAGTCGGTGTGACCCAATCCAAGGCAGCCTGGCTTGTTCTTCCATAAGTAACCCTCTCTCCTAGAGGCACAAGCTCCGTTTTTCATTATTTGCATAATTTACGGGGCTCAGCGGACGTCTCTCTCTTCCCAGAATTCAGTGGGCCTCCCAACTGCTCATTCAGGCGGTTTGTCCTGGGGCTGTGGGGTTTCCATCCATCGCCCTCTAGTCCCCCCACGAGCCCAGGTGCGCCTCCGTGGCCTCCCAGTCCCCAGCCTCGGCCCTCCCTGCCTCCTCTCAGCTGGCTTCCTCTCTGGGTGTCTAGGAAGGGCCTTGAGCCTGGCCGCCCACCCCCGTCGGCTTCCACACCACAGTTTCTGCCTTCTCCAATTCTACTCTGTTTGCTCCTTCCGTGGCCATCCCCGGCCGGAGTTGTTTCTTAGGACTGTGGGGACAAGTGACCACTGTGGGTGGGGTGGGGGTCACAGGAACGGGTGTCCGGGTGTCAGCAGGCTGGGCTGTGGCCTTCAGTGGGCTCCAAGGCCCCTGTGTGAAGGCCTGGTCCCCAGGTGGCCCTATGGGGAGGCGGTGGAGCCTCTCAGGTGGGGTCTAGTGGGAGATCTCGAGGTCCCTGGGGCCTGCCCTTCCAGGGCACTGGGCTTCTGGGCCTCCCTCCTCCTGGCTTTCCTCTCTGGGCATGGGGGTAGCAGGTTTGCTCCATCACCCCCTACCCCGGTGACATGCTGTCTCGCCAGGTCCAAAGCAACAGGGCCAACCAGGCATCGACCGGACTCTCTAAGACCGTGATCAAAGGACGCCTTTTCTCTTCCTCCAGCTCACGGTCTCAGGCGTGCTGTCACAGTGAGGGAAAGTGGCCAGCGCGGGCTGGGGCGGTTCCCTCTGTGCCTCTCCCCTGGCTTCTGGTGGCCGTCAGCCATGCTCGGCCTCCCTGGGCGGTAGCCGTGGAACTCCCGCCTGGGCCTCCGTCTTCCGGGACCTCTAGGTCTCTCTTCTCCTGTCTGGGTCTTCTTTTCCCTGTAACGGCTCTGGTCAGTGCGTGCAGGGCCACCCGGTTAGCCCAGGAGGACCTTGTGTGGGGATCCTCGCCCCAATCCCATCTGCAAAGACCCTCTTCCCAAATCAGCTCACTCAACGGGCGCTGGGAACTAGGAGGTGGGCGTGCCTTTCAGGGGAACAGCCTGGGGCAGCCTCTCGTCCCTCTTCACCTCCTGGCGCCTGGGCTGCTCTCAGCCATGAGTCCCCGACGCGGCCTCCTCCTCCCGGCTCCCTGGGGAAACCGCGCTCCTGGATGCGGTTCCTTCTGGACGGTCCCCTGTGACAGTCCCCTGTGACGCTTTTCCTCGGGAACTTCCCTCAAGACACACCCATCCGCCTGCAGGGCTGCGAGCAGGCTGTGTCAGGCCTCCTCTGGTCCCACGTCCTGCTGTGTGTGGTGAGCCCTGCCCTCTGCGTGTGGCCGGGCGGCAAAGTCAGGTGGCTCCCTGCGCCCACCCCAGGTCCCCGGGGCTTCCTGCCCCCCTGCCCGTGCCCACTCGGGCCAGCCATCTGGCTCTGGGCCTTGGAACCCAAGGAGCCCTCCCCAGGCTTCCTGCCCCCCACTGCGTTTGCTTCCCAGAATGCCTTGCACACAGAGCCGGCTCCCGCCCACCTTCCCGGGTGGCCAGGGGACGCCATCCCCGATCCTTCGTCAGTCTGTGAGGCCGGCATCCACTCTGGGTTCAGGCTGGCAAAGGACGCACGGGGAGGCGCCGGGCCCCTCCCTGCCTCTGTCCCTCACTGTCCTCCATTCCTGTCACTGTCAGGGCTCCTCCAGGTTCCAGAGGCACCAGGTCGGCAGGCCTTTGTCCCCACTGAGGGTTGACCCTCCTCTGACTTCGTGGTCATTCAGCACTGGCTGGGGGGTCTCCTTCCAGGTCTTTAGTTGTTATTCTTGTCACCGGGGTGTCACCTGTCCCAGCCGAGGGGCAGCCCAGGGCCCACCTGCTTCTCTGCGCTGCCTGGGGGGCTGGCTTCCCCTGGGGAGAGGCCCTCCGCTGGGCCTCCTGCCTCCAACTTGGTTCCTTGAGTTTGTGGCGTTGTTTGCTGAGTGCCCTCAGAGGCTCCCGCCAGCTGACCACCGGCCGGACAGAGGCTGTGCCTGGGCCCTGGAGGCTGGCTCAGCGGGGCAGGGCTGCCCGGAGGAGGCCCCTGGCGGGGGGCTTTGAAGGGTGGGTAGGAGTTTGGTGACGATGGTGCGGGGCGGGGCCAGAAGGGAGGAGTGGGCTCTGGGGTCTCAGCCTCAACCATGGACTCCGCTGCCGGGTGGAGAAGGCTCCCCTCTGGGCTCTTATGGGGGGACGTCCGGGGCCTGGATGGTCCCAGGGAGCACGGGTGGGTCTGCGAGTGCCCACTGAGCCCCTGGGGACTTGTCCTGGGCAGGGCAGCCAGGTCCTCCTGGTCTTCGCCGCTGCCCTCTCTGCCTTCCTCCGGCAGCTGTGGCGCGGTCCCAGGGTGGCAGCGCAGTCCCTTCTGCACGGGCCCTGCTGCGGGTCTCCTGGACGCGAACCCACAGCCCTCTGCGGTGGCGCGCTGGAGCAGGCCCAGCTGGGCTTTCCCCATCCTGATTTGCCCAGGCCCATGAATAATTAACGGCGCAGTAATGAGAAGGGCTTTTAATAGAAGCCGCTGCCTTCACTGCGTCTCTGCTCCCGCCAAGGGCTTCCCCAGAAGGACTTGCGCTCACGTGGTGTGCTTCCTGCCACCGGCACCGGGCTGAAGGGTCCCTGCCCCAGAGGCCCCTGGCACCTTGACCGTTTCCTACCCTCCTCCCTGAAGCCTGCCCGGGTCCCCTCTGGGTCCCCCTGGGGCAGGGGGTGACGGGGGGTGAGGCAGCCCTGCTACCTGTGGTGCTGGGACAGGCAGGTCCCTCTGTAGGGCCAGGGCAGGCAGGCAGCCGGGGACAAAGTCACCCAGAGCTAGGCCGGGAAGGGCCTGGGGGGGGGCATGGCAGGATCTGGGGAGACGGGCAGCCCCGCCCCCTGGCTCCCAAGTTCCTCTGCAGGAGAGGGATGAGGACGTCCCCACCCCACCAGAAGGTTCTGAGGAGAGGGGGACAGCTCACCCAGGAGGGAATGCTCCCACCGTGCGGGGACAGGAGCTGCCAAGGGACCCACACGCTGTGGCCTTGGTGACACCACAACCTGGGAAGCGCCGTGGTGTCCAGAACTGGGGACTGGCTTGAAGGAGTGTGGACACAGTGGGGACCGCGCTGTCTCTGAAGGCGCTGGAGACCAGTCCTCCAGCTGCCCACTGCCCAGGAGCCCCAGATGCCGGCCCCAGGCAGGAGCTGCAGCCCTTAGCCCTGGGGCCGGATTCCGCTGACCCACAGGACAGCTGCTGACGGGGTCCCCGAGTAGTGGGCACAGGGCTTCGGGGCTGGAGGAGAGGCTGGGGTTCTGCTGGCCAGCGGGTGGACCAGGCTGCAGACCGAGCACGTCCGTGACCCCATCCAGTGCTCCAAGACGGCCACCCCCCCGCTGCGGGCTGGGAGCCCACCTCTCCAACAGGAAGAGGTGGCGATGAACACCGGTCCTTCAAATTCTTCCCTCTGGTCTATCTTAATTTCGAAACGATCCACAACGAACCTGTATTACTTTTGTAATTGGAGAAAACTGTTGCTTTTTAAGCTTTTCTTTTTCCTACACCAGGATCGGGCCATGATCAGGGCCACCATCAAGGTCATGTTCAGCCTGCAAAGCTGGGGATTCAGAGGAGGGTCAGCTGCCCTCCAGCCTCACTCCAGGCCTGCGAGGAGGCCACAGGCTGGGCTGACAGGCAGGTCCCTCTCGGGTGTCTGATGCCAAGCTGAGCCCTCTGTCCCCATCCATCCCCTGGGGTCCCACCCACCCCCAGCAGGGGAACAGTCACCATGGGGACAGTATCAGTGCCACGTTGTGACTAAGGGAACTGGTAGTTCTGCCCGGGATCCCCCAGGTCCCCATGGGGTGGGTGGTGGAGCCAAGGCACCAGCTACCAGGAAGCCCCTACCTCCTCGAAGGACTGTGGCCACTAGTCAGGATGTCCTCACCGAAAATCCAGAAAGATGGATGGTGAGAGCTTTGAACAGGAGCTGAAGGTGGGCAGGGGGCAGCCTCCAGCCCCCTGGGTGAAGACGGGAGCCGTGGGCTACTGGGGGCAGAGGGCGGTCCCAGGAAGGAAGGAGGACAGCCTTTAAGGTTGACTGAGCCCCTGCAACGGCCAAAGCCTGGCCGTTCCTCTCGAGTCCTCTCGAGGCCTGAGGCCACGCCTGCTGCTCTCCCATCATGCAGAGGTGAGAACCGGACTCCAGGTCCCAGGGCCCCACAGTGGGCACCCTGGGTACAGTGCTTTGAGGTGGAGAGGAAGGGGTGGGGCAAGGCCAGGGCGTCCCAGGGAAGGGAGGTGCAAGGTCAGTCTGGGGGACGGAGCGTCCTGCCATGCAGCAGGGGCCACCTACTTCCCAGCCAGGCCTGGGGCTCAGCTGAAGGTGAGTAAGGAACTGGATGGTCTAATAGGGTGATAGACAAGTAGGGGGACAGTGGGGACAAGGTCTCTGCTGGATGGTTGCTGCCAGGAGCGCTCAGAAGAGGTCAGTTCCCTGGAGGAGGGAAGCCCAGCTGAGTCCTGAAGACCACACAATGAGTCTGAGGTATGGAGACCAGCATGTGCAAAGGCCCAGAGGCCTGGAAGGCAGCTGGTCTGGCTGCAGCAGAGGAGGTGGAGCGGGTGAGCTACCAGGGTGAGTGAGCGGGAGCCAAGGGACGGCACACACCTGGAAAGAGTGATAAGGGGGACTTTTATCAAACCCACAGCCCCCTCGCAGGGTGCAGGATCTCGGGAGCATCCTGGAGCCATGAAGAGGCTGGGGTGGCGTTCCAGGGAGACTTGCGGGAGCTGAGGGGCCTGGGCCTGGAGAAGTGGTGGTGCCACTCCCTGCAGAGGAGGAGCAGCTGCGGCCGCGGGGCTGAGAGGAGAGGAAGCAGGTGGCCAGGCGCAGAGGTGCCCGGATGGCGGGGGAAGCCAGGAATTCACTGGCTCTGCGGAGACCCCTGTGGACAGCAGAGGGGCTGCCTAGGGCCCAAGGACCCCCTGGAGGCCGTGCCCTGCCCTGGCTGCTGCGGCACTACCCGAAGCTGAGGCCTGGCTCACGCGCCCAAGGACACACAATTGGCAGTCCCGCCCGCCCTCCCCCACGTTCGTGTGGCTCCTGGCACTCGGGCTGTCAGGGCGTCCCCTGCCACCTCCACCCAGAGACAGCAGGTCATGGTGGCATGGCCTCCTGGGGCAGGGGTGGCAGCTGGCCCAGGACCAGAAGCTGGGTGGGCGGGAGAGAGCGCATCACAGGCTGCAAAGGGGGAGGGACTGTCCTCTGCTGGGAGAGGAAATTAGAAAAACTGAGCCCCTTAATTCTTGGTGAGGTTCAGAGAGGTGGAGGACCTTTCCTGAGATCACACAGCTCGTCCCAGGACTGGATCCCCAGTCTCTGCTCCCCCATGGGGTCTTGCCTGACATGGAGTCCCTGAGTCCCCAGGACTGGCCTGCTGAGCCCTCACTGTCTAGACCCTGGCGTGGGACGCCACCCCACCTCCAGCCGTTTCTGGGCCTGACACACGGGCCTGAGAGCTGGGGACAGGGATCAAGTCTGGGCTTCGGAACCCAGGACCACTGAGTGTGTGGGCCGCTCAGGGCGGTGGGGAGGCCTCTGCAGGTCCAGGCCCCGCTCAGGAGAGGCCTGGCAAGGAGGTGAGTCGTGCTGAGCTTGCTGATGGCCCATCCCTCCGGGTGCCCCCTCGGCCCTTTCCTTCTGAGTGGTGAGCCAGAGGACCTGGCCCCACAGGCCTGGGGGAGACGGGTCTGTCCTGGCCCCACGGAGATGCAGACCCTGGGCTCAGAGGCGTGGGGATGTCCTTGTTAGGGGCCACCCTGAGAGGCCACCAGGAGGCCCAGGTCAGCTGCTGGGCCACAGCCGATTCACATCAGCCCACTGCCTGCCAGCGCCTCTAGCCAGACCCCAGGAGACCCCTCTGTCCCCACCACTGTCCTTATCCTCTGAACCTCGAAACCTCACCTAGCGCCCACTCCCCAGGGCTCAGGGCCCATGGCCAGGGTGACGACCCTCCCCTCGGAGCCTGGCCGCATCTTCCTGGTCTGGGGTGGACATAGGCCCTTGGATGGGAGGACTAGAGGGCAGGCTGTGGGGGAGATGGGGTGGAGGAGGGGACAGAGGGACAGCACACCTGCTCCCCCAGCAGTGACAACTGGGCAGAGAGAGGGGGAGGCGAGGACAGAGAAAGGGGGGTGGAGAGAGCAGGCTGGGGGGAGGGGAGGGAGGAGGGGCCACGGGGGCGGGGGAGGGGAGGGGGCAGCGCGCCCAGGAGGGGCACGCCTGGCCAGGGACGGCGCTGGGGAGGGGACCTTGTGAAAATAAATATTTATAAATGGATAGTTTCTAAATTTTTTTTGCACTTCCCTAGTAAATTATTCATCTGTGCAGCTTCTGCTCCTGTCTGCTGGGGAGCTGGGTCTGTCCCTGTCCCCAAGCCCCTCTC